TCACTACAATGTTCCCTCATTTGCTAAGCAACTTCTATCTCTTCCTCAGTTAAGATAGAGAGAGGAATCGGTTTCTCGACATAATCCTCACCCCATCGGTTTTTCTTAAAGCGACGGTTCCTGAAAAGTTGTTCGAAAAAGTTCCTTCAAAAAGAGTCCATAGAAACTCATTCCGTTTCCAAATCTTCAATAAGAGAAATGATCTCCAATTAAAAATCCCCACTAGAAAAGGGAAAAGAAGGCGATTCAGGTTACACCCTTCTTTTCAAAGAGGAAGAAGCACTACCCTCCAATTCACTCTCTATCACTACTATAAAATATACCTTTGATAACACTAAATTACAATGGTCTGACAGTTAACTGTGGTAATACCTCATTTTAGGACGTATTTTGTATTTTATATTTACTAAAAGACATTGCATTACAGTCAAAACAATTAACCGTGATTATACATTCATGGAGTGATGGGGTTAAAATCTCAGCTCCAACAATTTCTACATTTTCGTTAAAATGAATGTTGTCTTATAATATGATATATATATATATATATATATATATATATATATATATATATATATATATATATATATATATATATATATATATATATATATATATATATATATATATATATATATATATATATATATATATATATATATATATATATATATATATATATATATATATATATATATATATATATATATATATATATATATATATATATATATATATATATATATATATATATATATATATATATATATATATATATATATATATATATATATATATATATATATATATATATATATATATATATATTAAAATACCTATCACCACGGTTGTTAATGTCCACCGTTGTGAAAGACATCACTTTTTATCACAGTTTTTGAATACAATCGTGGTGAAATTGTTTGGCCATATATAAGCGAATTAGCTCTCGCTTCTTGACAGTATCTCCGGATATCTCATAACAAAACCCTAGAACACATTTTCTCTCTTCTTCTTCATCGTTAGCTTTCCTATTTTACATTATAGCCTCAATCTTGTTCTTCATACATATATGTATTCTTCTTCTTCCTTATTTTCTCGTTTTTGTGTATGTTGTTGTTATGTTTCACATTATTTTCACATGATTTTCTTCTTGTTAGAGAGTTTATGCGTTTTTTGTTGTTTTTTTTGTATGTTTCACATGGTTTTTCATATTATTTACTTCGGTTTCATATGTTTAGTTGTTGATTTTAATATGCTTTAGGTTTATGTTTTGAAAAAATGTTTTTCTTCCCTACGGCCACTTTGACACCACCTAAATCTATCCTACTCTTATATTTCAGATTCTTCTTTCAACACGAATAGTGAGAGCAAACTTGTCCAAGAGATTGATGTTTCAAAGGAGGTTATTAATATGCTGGATATATGGTTGAACAAAGCCAAGGAAGTTGAAGTTGTTATGGATCAAATTAATGTTGTTGAACCGTCTGGTGGGACAGGCTATAAGAAGATTTTTATCAAGAATCTTAACCTTGAAAAGATAAGAAAAGTAAAAGATATTATGAAGAAACTAATGAATCTGAATGCAACTGATTCAAAATAAGATGAAGACCTTGAAAACTATACGAATTCAACTAGGCATGAAGATTGAAGACCTTGTTATGTTTCACATGTTAACATGTTGATAAATTTTTGTTGAATTACAATGTACTGCTAGTTTATGTTAACATGTTATTTTTTCATGTTGTTTCACATGGTTGTTTGTCTTAATTTTCCATGAATTTTTTCAATTAAAGGTATGTTTTTTGTTGATAAATGTTGTTTCATGTTGTTGATGTTGATGTTGATGTTGTTTTGTGTTGTTTATTAATAAATGGGTTTTCATGTGTAGCTAGAAAATAGTTATGGTTCTTTACTTATCACTGATGCAACTAGTTGTGTGAACATGGATCTAAGAGAGTTGCGAAGTTGTGTTCGTTGTATAAATATTATATGATTCTTTCTTATAATATTCCCATAGTGAACACATGTTTTCTACTATCCCTTCTACTTTATATTTTTCATAGTTTTTAGGAACAATTAGTTATCAAGTTCTTATAATATATGTTAATTAATTGATGTTTTAGTTGATATATGTTGTTAGTGAGTTTGTTATATCATATGTGATTGCTTGTTTCACTAACCCCTCATTGAACTAGCATTAATTTAAATAGATTTTTTAGTTAATGATTAAAAAAATTGAATTATTCTTAAAAATCAACTTAGACGATCCAATGTTTATCGAATTGCATGATTGTAATTTATGACTTACTCTTTAGCCTATAGAATTTGATTTAATGCCACAAATTCTTCAAAACAATGATGATAAATGAATGTCAGTCCGAGTCTTTCACACACAATTTAATGTTTGCAAAATAAACTAGAAAAAAAGAGAAAATCAAATTTTGTGTGAAAGACTTAGAAAACATCCATTTATCATCGTTACTTTGAAGAATTTGGGATTGAATCAAATTGTATGGGTTAATGAGGAAATCATGAATTATAAGATGCATGCATTTGGAAAAACATTGGATCGTTTAAGTTATTATTCGAGAATAATTTAATTTTTAGGATAATTATCTCAAAAATCTATTTGAATGGTTGTATATGTTTAATGAGGGGCATGGAAAAAAATCCCATATTTTCTAATAAATTCTTACACATACCACCACGGTTGGAACATATAACCGTGGTGAAATGTTAAAACAGAAGAATGACGTTGCTAGGATTCGAACCCATGAACTATAAATTATTTCACAACGATTGTTTTCTTTACCTGTTGTTATAAGTAGCGCACTACTTAACTTATAACCACGGTGACTCGCCCATTGTGGAAACTAGAATACATACAATCACACACTACCTAACAACGGACGTGAAACTGTCATTATATGTATTTTTCGTAGTAGTGTATGATGATAGGGGTATCACTCATCGTAACAAAGATACAATAAATGCTTGAATAAAATAGATGAGGTGAAGAAAATGTACCTTGAAATGTAAGGTCGGAGGCAAGAAAGCAAAAAGAAGGCCGAAATCCGCAGCTTTGAAACTTTGAAGCTTTAAATGCTTTGAAACTCTTGTAAAAATGCTCTTAGAGAAAAAGTAAAAACTCACCGGAAACAAGGGAAAGCTCAGTCTAAAAGTATATTTCAAATTTCTTCCCACATTTCCTTTATCCTTATATATGCGAAGACAATCGGGTAGATCAAATTAAAAGTAAGAAGCAAGTGCAGATCAACAATTAGATTTTTTTTTGGGAACACAATCAAGTTCAAGTACACTCAAGTGCATAGTAAACTGCATAACGCCACTCTCTACCTTTTTAGGTCACACGTCAAGAGAAAAATGACGAAACATTTTAATGATGGAACTGCAAAACCAAGATAGTGCATGCCAGTCGACGCATAGACAACCATTCTAGAAGGCTAGCCATGATTGCTAAAAGATTCGCCCAACATCCAAAGTGCCTGAGAGTCTTAAGGGAAACTGTTCAGTGATGGTCAAAGGCCTAATAAGATAAGACCCATTTATTTTTCCCGCTCCATTGAGCCCAAGGTATAAATACCTTCATAAATAGTTTTCAAGCACACAATCTCTAATCTCCACTCTCATTACAATTATCTTGAACTCTAAATTGACTTGGATGTTGGAGTGCTAACCATACATGCACCTCACTCTGATCCACTGTAACGGAGATTAGCAACGTCGTTTCAAGATTAACCGTTGATTCAAAATCAACATCTTTGATTCAAGAGGCACCACGATCATAACCTCTGATTCATGGTGCTGCATCACCTAATTGCTTAGGAAGCTTCACTCCGTCGTAGTTTCCTCAATCCACGTCATTTCTGGTTCGCAACAGAACACATAATGTTTTGGGTCGGCCAAACAATCCAACAAGAAAAAACGACCTATCAAGACTGACCAAACACTAAAAGCTCAATTCAAAATATCTTTATATGACACCGATGAATAGATAAAACTTCGTCAGAAGCTAGCACACTGGTGGGTCCAGACTATTCGCTCATCATCAACCATCATATCCAATTTGATGATGTTTCGTATTCTATTTCAGACCTATTGATAGAAGTTTTAACCACCCATCCATCTTATATAAGCTCCTATATGCGTCATGAAATGTATGTTTTCATCTGTTTTTGTAAGTTACATCTCTTTGTCCTCACTGAATTGTGCGTTGAAATGTTAACCTTGTAGGCACACTTTTACTCTACCATACTAGAGATCTGCACCACAGTATCGAGAGAACTTCATACAAACACGTCATCAATCTTTTGTTCAGCACCAGAATAGTTACGGATTTTTTTTACATTACTCTAACTTGATTTTTATGTAAAAAATAATTTTACTCAAAAATATTATTTGATATTGAGTTTTGTTGGGGTACCTAAAGGCGTCGGGCTTACACTTACAAAGTCTCATCTCCTTAATGTAAGTTCAATTTCATGGACTTCTATCGACTTTTTGAATATCCAGTTCAGCTTGAAATGTTTGATTACTCATCAACAACATGCACCTGCTGATATATGGCATGATTATAGGGGCGGGGGAAGGAGTCTTTTTTCTTGACTAAACAAAGTTTATTTTTAGAAACATGTTGGCACGACTTTATTGTTTTGATAAGAGCACGACTCTTTTTTTTTTCCTTGTATAATAAATACAGGAATGATATAATATTCCTGTATCTTTCTCTACGTAACCACATCATTGGCTAGCAATATTGTTTCAAGACAACAACATAAAATTAAACAAACAACATCAGTAATATTGTTGACTTGTAATGATAGAGACATAATCGATCTTAGTGGAAATCACGAAGGCAAGTTTTTCCAATTAGTGACGTTCTACATTAATTGGAAGTTATATATAAGAACACATGTATGTACAATTTCATTGAGCACATCCAATTAATTGCATTCATTAATCTTTCCATAATCTCAACAATGGCTACAATTCATCAGTATTGTAGCTTCTTGAATACAATTACAATTACATTGATGCTCACAATTATAGCTAAACCAGCAGTAGTATCAGCGACATTTCAACCAAGTCCATGGACTTTTGCTAATGCCACATTTTACGGCGACGAGACCGCTTCCGCCACCATGGGTACGTTGTAAAATATTCACTACTAATATTATTATATATATATTTTTGGTTATTGGTTTAGTAGTTTAATATACAACATAGTGAATTCGAATCTGCACTTCTTTAATATGATATTTATGCATAATTATCCGCTGAGTTGATTTTAAATTGACATGTTTTTTTTGTGGCGTTCAATTTTGCTTATTGATTTTATAAAGGGGGAGCATGTGGATATGGAAATTTGTTTGTGAACGGGTATGGGACAGACACAGCAGCATTGAGTTCAAGATTGTTCAATAATGGGTATGCATGTGGGACTTGTTATCAAATAAAATGTGTCGAGTCAAAGTTCTGTAACACCAACGTGCCTTACACTACAGTCACTGCCACCAATCTATGCCCTCCTAATTGGTCTCAAGCCTCTGATAATGGTGGATGGTGCAACCCACCACGTTCACATTTTGATATGTCTAAACCTGCTTTCATGAAAATCGCAGAGTGGAAGGCTGGTATCATCCCTATTATGTATCGCAGGTAATAATTAACTAAGTTTTTTTATCTCACATATATTCATAAATACCTGACCTGATTATTCAGGTGTTTATGAATATTGTACATATGATGTTATTTGTTGATTAAAAAATTATCGATTTCTCAGAGTACCTTGCGCAAGGAAACAAGGATTTCGATTCTCTTTTCAAGGAAATGGGTATTGGTTATTAGTGTACGTGATGAATGTGGGAGGTGGAGGAGATATAGCCAACATGTGGGTGAAAGGAAGCAGGACAGGATGGATTAGAATGAGCCACAATTGGGGTGCTTCTTACCAAGCATTTGCAACACTTGGTGGCCAAACACTTTCTTTCAAGATTACTTCTTACACAACCAAAGAAACTGTATTTGCATGGAATGTTGCTCCTTCTAACTGGCGTGCTGGATTAACCTATTCCACTTCTATAAACTTCCATTGAAGTGTTGTATAAAATGCCACCATGAGGCTCATCCTTTTCATTTATTTGTTTCAATGCACCACGGTTTATTTGTATCTCTTGTGATGAATTTTTCATTGAAGAAGTAGATTGTTATTGTCAAGAGGATTTATTTTGTTAGTTTTACAAGATCGAAATGTAAACCCTATGTAATCAAGAGACTAATCTTTATGCACTCATAATATCAATTTTTTGATGTTTTTTTTAATGGTAAAATAATATAGAGCACAAGAAGTTCCAAGACAATCAAAGCAACTAAAAATAAGAGATCAACCAAAGCACACACAAAAAAGAAAAAAAAATAGAAAGCAGCCAAGGAGAAGGTGTGAAAGCCCATGAACAACCTGCACAACAAAGCACCACCCAATAGAAATCAAGCTAGAGTTCATATTTCAAACCCACCAACAATAGACCAATAGACCAAGCCCTAAAGCTACACCAAAAATCATTGAGCACTAGAGAAATAAGTAAGAAATCTTGATTCGCTATTGTTTCAGATATTTGATAGAGTTATGAAATTAATCAAAAAAAGGACAAAAAGTTCAAAGTGGATTTCTTAAGAAACCAACTAAAAAACACTATTATTCTCCATTTCTTTCACATTTATTAACGAACGTATAAAAAAGTTTATCATTACAAAGATACTATAGTCCAAACTATAGCAAGTCAAATCATAATAAAGTATATCATATGCCTAAGAGATACAACATTGTTATATATATATATATATATATATATATATATATATATATATATATATATATATATATATATATATATATATATATATATATATATATATATATATATATATATATATATATATATATATAGGTAACAAGTTGCATCATTGTTCTTTTTTGGATAGGAAAATCAATTCTCTTAAAAATTATATTTATTTTTCTAAGAGACACAACATTACTATGCATGAGCCTCTAATCTCTCTGTGAAAGATCCACTGTTTTTGATATTAGAAGATCAAAAATATTAAAAACAAATGGTATGAAAGTACGTTGATTGTCGGAACATATTTTCTCATGCTTAGTCACTTTGCTTGAAGCAAATTTGTCTTGTCCCATAGTAAAACCTACAATCCTCAGTCCCACCACTGCGGAAATCCCAGTAATTAAAGCATACACATACATGTTTACCTCTTACCCACTCATACACCAGAACATTTGTTGACCTAAGAGTCGGTCTCCCTCCATGTGGGTCAGTCAAGAAACTCACAGGCCTTCTTTCTTCATAGATATCCCAACACCCCTAAATATATCAATTAGGACATTCCTAACAAAGTCATGTCGGTATTTGAATCCTAGGAGCTCCTTGCAATGAATGACGTGTTCACAAAATATATCCAAGTAAGCCTTACGACAAAGAGGGTGAACCTCATCAACAAGAAATAAGGGAATCATAAGTTGGTACTTAAGAATGGTACGGTACTCTACTAGAGACATATGTTGGCCTAGACCGTTAATAGGGATAGCAAAGAGAAAATCTTGCGCATGTGCTGCTTGCAAACAACTAAAAACTGCTTTCTGTCTAATGGTCATGTCAAACTTTACATCCATGACCTGAAAACTTTTACTAAAACACACTCTCCAAAACATGTTATGCTTTAGGAGGGACAATATCCTTTCTAGTAAAACTGCTAAGGTCAAAATTTAGAATCGCAACACTAAGACCATCCAAAACTCCGTCGAAATCAAGGTACATCCCATATATCCCACTGTCTCTCAATATATGACCATATAATAACCAAGATTAGCCCCTAAAAGCCACAAACGCATATGAGGCAGCTTCTACTGTCGAGTACAAACTCAATCCCCTAACTCTAATATGTAAAGAAGCCATCATCCATTGAAAGTCTCAAAAGAAAGGACCTCTACCAACCATGATGTCTTCAAGCGCCCTTTGCAACTCTTTATCAAACTAAATAATTGCTTTCTCCATATGACTAGGTTGACATGTTTTAAGTCCAAAAAAGAGTTTGGAGATACCCATGCATGAACGAAGTAGAAAAAGATCACTCTAAGGACCCCTTAGTTGTGGCGGAAGATGCATTAGCTCATCATCCCTAACTGCTCTCTTCATGGACAACCCCATGATAAACCTTCATCTTGAATAATATCTCCTCTAAGAAAATTCATATTCAACATCGGCCTCCTAATGTATGACAAAAATGACTCCCCACGAAGTTTACTATCATCACACGAAGGTCAAAATATTTAGTTTTGTGAATATTCAATTCGAGACCTAATCTTGGACTAGTCTCCCGATGATGTCAAAAGCTTAAGTTACTTCCCCTAAATCCCCTATGATTGTCCCATCACCAAGATACCAGACATGAAGAAGAAGTTTACAATTGCCAATTATTTGGTGAATAAGTAGGTGTAACACAAGGACAAAAAGGAGCGGCCCTAACATGTAACACCATGTATAGTATACATCAAGAAAATACATTATACACAATGTTAATTGGTACTGATATAACATAAGTTCCTAACAACATTATTATATATACATGTTCAAAAAGAATAATATACAATTAGGACACATGATATACAAGAGTGCCTAATCAAAAACTAAGATCTATGTATTATATCCATAGATGTACATGATCTATAACATAAGATCACAATCACAAGAGTCTTAGAAACATCATCGGACAAGTTTGTCCTTACTTTTAACCTACTAAGAATCACATGAAAATCGACAATGATAGTGGAGTGAGATGATAATCTCAGTAATTTTCCATATCTTATGGTTCCACTCGGCTCTAAAGGGATCTCTTATCAATTTTTAGCTGAAGCCTTTCATTTTACCACTACTATATAATATACCTTTGGTAACACTAACTTACAATGGTCTGACAATTAACAGTGGTAATAACTCATTTATGGATGCGTTTTGTTTTTTTATATAGGTGAAAAGACATTGCATTATGGTCAAAACAAGTAGATGTGATTATACATTCATGGAGCGACATGGTTCGAATCTCAGCTGCAACAATTTTCTACTTTTTTGTTACAATGAATGTTGATCTAATAATATGATATACATATTAAAATTAAAATACCTATCACCATGTTTGGTAATGTCAACTGTTGTGAAAGGAATTACATTTCATCACGGTTATTGAATACGACCGTGGTGAAATTGTTTACCCATATATAAGCGAATTAACTCTCTCGCTTATTGATAGTATCACGGTATCTCTATAAGAAAAACCTTAGCACACATTTTTGTAATTATGGAATGCACCTAAGAGGGGGTGAATTAGGTACTTTAAAATTTTCTGGTTTTAGACTTAAGTGTGATTACTTTTCTGGTTTGATGTTAAGTGATGAAAGCGGTAAAGTGCAGAAAAATAAAGGACACAACGATATATCCTGGTTCCCCTCATAATCCGAAAGTACTCCCGTCCCCTTACGCAGTAAGAGATTTTACTATCTATTAGAACTCTGTACTAGTTTTATCCTAGACTTATAGACACAAGCTTTAAACCAATCACAAAGACAACAACACCCTATAATTAAAAAAAGTTGAAATGAGAACAATCATCTCAAAATCGACTCTCTTACTTCCAACAATCCTGGACAACAAGGAATACAAAATAAATATGGAAATATAAGAAGTTTAAAGTTCGTGTGTGTAATCGGTTACATGAAATGGTGTAACCGGTTACACCTGTTGTACAAGGCCAAAGAATTCAAAGTTACGAACGTGTAACTGGTTATCAGGAAAGGTCTAACCGGTTACACCTGCTGTGAGGCAGAAAAACACTTAGAAAAAAATTAGTATTTACCAGGTTTTATGAATACTAAGCATATGCAACATGATATGATTTTTCATAATATTCTTGAGCACTTAATAGTTAACAGAATGAAAGTGCATCACCATAAGTCAGCACATCATATAATGATAATTCAACAGTTCCTCTTCAAACTCAACAGAATAAGTATATATACAACTCAACACCACTCACCAATACTCATCAATACATAATCAACATCATTAAACACCTTATATAATGATAACTCAACATTATATATATATATATATATATATATATATATATATATATATATATATATATATATATATATATATATATATATATATATATATATATATATATATATATATATATATATATATATATATATATATATATATATATATATATATATATGACATATCTAGTGAGAATACTACTTTTATATGAGAATGGTAGGAATAATTAATAGCCCTTAGATTTAAAAATAAATGGTTGTGATTAAAATATTTATTTAATGAACATATGTATCTCTTTCATCATTTAATTGAACACAACATAAATTATGAAAGTGACACATATCTCAATTTTAAATCTAAGGGCTAATAATTATTCCTACATTCTCACATAAAAGTAGTATTCTCACTAGATATGCCCCATATATATATATATATATATATATATATATATATATATATATATATATATATATATATATATATATATATATATATATATATATATATATATATATATATATATATATATATATATATATATATATATATATATATATATATATATATATATATATATATATATATATATATATATATATATATATATATATATATATATATATATATATATATATATATATATATATATATATATATAACATAAAATGACTCGCCATATTAAATATAAACATATTCATACCCCACAATACTCACCGATACATAATATTTCACACCAATTCTCAATAGAGTCAGCTCATGACTCCCAGAGCTCTTACACGACTCTTCCACTTTTATTCATGAATTTTAGAATTATAAGACATACTTTAATCTCAACTGGTTACCTTTCGAATCAGCTCTGAAATTTCAGATAACTCGATACATCCCTCATTAATTCTTCAAACTCACCAAAACATTAAAAGAAAACAATAGTAGACAGTCATTGCCATTGGAAACGGCTCAAAAAA